CAACGAATTTTATAGGAACTAAGAAATTATTTCTTGAACACTAAATCTAGTCGAAATTTACATTAAAAAGCATTTTAACTCATTATGCTATCTCTATTAGTTTTTGAGATACGACTTTTTTAATTTCTACTTTTCCGAATTTTGCTAAAACGAGCATAGTTAGATTAAAAAAATCAAAACGACGGTGTTATTAGGATCTAAGAAATAATTTTATGCACACTAAAACTAGATTAAATTTCCTTTCAAATGCTTTTTATCTCGTTATTATATCTCAATTAGTTTTTGAGATACGATTTTTTTAATTTCCATCTTTTTCAGTGCAAACTCAATTAAAGATACAGAGTCGTATTTAAAGCTTAATAACAACGAATTTTATGGGAACTAAGAAATTATTTCTTAAACACTAAAACTAGTCTAAATTTACATTAAAATGCATTTTAACTCATTATGCTATCTCTATTAGTTTTTGAGATACGACTTTTTTAATTTCTTCTTTTCCGAATTTTGCTAAAACAAGCAAAGTTAAATTCAAAAAATCAAAACGACGGTGTTATTAAGATCTAAGAAATAATTTTAAGCACACTAAAACTAGATTAAATTTCCTTTCAAATGGTTTTTATCTCGTTATTATATCTCAATTCGTTTTTGAGATACGATTTTTTTAATTTCCACCTTTTTCAGTATAATCTCAATTGAAAATACAGAGTCGTAGTCAAAGCTTATTAACAACGAATTTTATGGGAACTAAGAAATTATTTCTTGAACACTAAAACTAGTCTAAATTTACATTAAAATACATTTTAACTCATTTTGATATCTCTATTAGTTTTTGAGATACGACTTTTTTCATTTCTTCTTTTCCAAATGTTGCTAAAACAAGCAAAGTTAAATTCAAAAAATCAAAATGACGGTGTTATTAGGATCTAAGAAATAATTTTATGCACACTAAAACTAGATTAAATTTCCTTTCAAATGCTTTTTATATCGTTATTATATCTCAATTAGTTTTTGAGATACGATTTTTTTAATTTCCACCTTTTTCAGTATAATCTCAATTGAAAATACAGAGTCGTATTCAAAGCTTATTAACAACGAATGTTATGGGAACTAAGAAATTATTTCTTGAACACTAAAACTAGTCTAAATTTACTTTGAAATGCATTTTAACTCATTATGATATCTCTATTAGTTTTTGAGATACGACTTTTTTAATTTTTACTTTTCCGAATATTGCTAAAACAAGCAAAATTAGATTCAAAAAATCAAAGCGACGGTGCTATTAGGATCTAAGAAATAATTTTATGCACACTAAAACTAGATTAAATTTCCTTTCAAACGCTTTTTATATCGTTGTTATATCTCAATTCGTTTTTGAGATACGATCTTTTTAATTTCCATCTTTTTCATTGCAACCTCAATTAAAGATACAGAGTCGTATTTAAAGCTTAATAACAACGAATTTTATAGGAACTAAGAAATTATTTCTTGAACACTAAATCTAGTCGAAATTTACATTAAAANCAAAAGAAAGAAAGGTAGCAAACATAAGAAGGGAATCGTAAATAAAAAGGATAACAAGGACGAATAATAATCTTGTTTATTAAAATCCGTTTACGTGATGTACAGAAAAAACGAACGAGTCACATAAAACACACTTGAAGAATTTAATGAGGGTTTCTTTCGGTTTTAAGATAAAGAGATTCCTCAAATTACCATTTTAAATTAATCTTAGTTTTAATTTCAACTTCTTAGAATATTGCTAAAATAAGAAGTTAGATCAAAAAAAAACTACGATGCTATTAGTAACTAAGAAATAATTTTAAGCACACTATAACTAGATTAAATTTCTTTTCAAATGCTTTTTATCTCGTAATTATATCTCAATTAGTTTATGAGATATGATTTTTTTAATTTCTAGTTTTCCGAATGTTGTTAAATCAAGGAAAGTTAGATTCAAACAATCAAAATCACGGTGTTATGGGGAACCAAGAAATTAGTTTAAGCACACTAAAACTAGATTAAATTTCTTTTCAAATGCTTTTTATCTCGTTGTTATATCTCAATTAGTTTTTGAGATACGATATTTTTAATTTCCATCTACAGACATGTATCCAAAGCTTAATAACAACGAATTTTATAGGAACTAAGAAATTATTTCTTGAACGCTAAAACTAGTCCAAATTTACATTAAAATGCATTTTAACTCATTATGATATCTCAATTCGTTTTTGAGATACGATCTTTTTAATTTCCATCTTTTTCATTGCAACCTCAATTAAAGATACAGAGGCGTATTTAAAGCTTAATAACAACGAATTTTATGGGAACTAAGAAATTATTTCTTGACCATTAAAACTAGTCTAAATTTACTTTAAAATGCATTTTAACTCATTATGATATCTCTATTAGTTTTTAAGATACGACTTTTTTAATTTTTACTTTTCCGAATATTGCTAAGATAAGCAAAATTAGATTCAAAAAATCAAAGTGACGGTGTTATTAGGATCTAAGAAATAATTTTATGCACACTAAAACTAGACTAAATTTCCTTTCAAATGCTTTTTATCTCGTTATTATATCTCAATTCGTTTTTGAGGTACGATTTTTTCAATTTTCATCTTTTTCAATGCAACCTCAATTAAAGATATGGAGTCGTATTCAAAGCTTAATAACAACGAATTTTATGGGAACTAAGAAATTATTTCTTGAACACTAAAACTAGTCTAAATTTGCATTAAAATGCGTTTTAACTCATTATGCTATCTCTATTAGTTTTTGAGATACGACTTTTTTAATTTCTACTTTTCCGAATGTTGCTAAAACAAGCATAGTTAAATTCAAAAAATCAAAACGACGGTGTTATTAAGATCTAAGAAATAGTTTTATGCACACTAAAACTAGATTAAATTTCCTTTCAAATGCTTTTTATCTCGTTGTTATATCTCAATTCGTTTTTGAGATACGATTTTTTTAATTTCCATCTTTTTCAGTGTAACCTCAATTAAAGATACGGATTCGTATTCAAAGCTTAATAACAACGAATTTTATGGGAACTAAGAAATTATTTCTCGAACACTAAAACTAGTCTAAATTTACATTCAAATGCATTTTAACTCATTATGCTATCTCTATTAGTTTTTGAGATACGACTTTTTTAATTTTTATTTTTCCGAATTTTGCTAAAACAAGCAAAGTTAAATTCAAAAAATCAAAACGACGGTGTTATTGGGATCTAAGAAATAATTTTATGCACACTAAAACTAGATCAAATTTCCTTTCAATTGCTTTTAATCTCGTTATTATATCTCAATTCGTTTTTGAGATACGATTTTTTTAATTTCCATCTTTTTCATTGCAACCTCAATTAAAGATACAGAGTCGTATTTAAAGCTTAATAACAACGAATTTTATAGGAACTAAGAAATTATTTCTTGAACACTAAATCTAGTCGAAATTTACATTAAAAAGCATTTTAACTCATTATGCTATCTCTATTAGTTTTTGAGATACGACTTTTTTAATTTCTACTTTTCCGAATGTTGCTAAAACGAGCATAGTTAGATTCAAAAAATCAAAACTACGATGTTACGGGGAACTAAGAAATTGCTTTAAAGCACACTAAAACTTGATTAACCTTTAATTCGTTAAAAGAAATAAAAAAATCTATTTCAGAGAACGAGGACGAATAATAATCTTGTTTAATAAAACGTATCCCGATGATATCCGTTTACGTGATATACACAAAAAACGAACGAGTCACATAAAACACACTTTTCTTAACCGTGCTTGAAGATTTTAATGAGGGGCTCTTTCGGATTTAAGATAAAGCTGCGTTGTCAACGTTCTAGCTTGTTAAGACACTCTTGTACGGTTATAATTCATTTCGGATAAGAATTTCTTACCTCAACTATATCAATTTTAACGAAATTAATCTTAGTTTATTCGACATTTTAGATCCCGTTCATAAATTAAACGTTTTTAATTGGATTTTTTAAGCTAATTAGGAAAATAAAACCATTAAGTTAATTAAGCATTGTAAACTTTCCTCATTTTTTATTTGTTTATCATTAAACGACTCAAACAACAAAAAAAATCCTGGCAATTTTATAACCCCCATAACGTGCCATCGTAAAGAAGTCTGACGGCTCTATATCGTTACGAGAAGAAGGAAAACTCGAAGAATGCGAGCGGGTATAAAAAAGCTCGCGAAGAGAAGAAGCACAAAAGAATAGCGATGATTTTAAGCGTTTTGAGGGATTCATTTCGTTCTTTTTAAATAAAAATATAAACGATCGCAAAGAAAATGTTGTTGCGAAAGAGAAGGGAACGGAGAATTACGACTGGTGACACGTAAACTTAATTATAGGTATCTGTTCATGTGGAGATACCAATTACGGCGAGGTCTCTCTCTTTCTCGGTAGGCTTTAACACACGCCGTATATGGTGAATGTAATGGAAAATATAAAACCAACAAGGTTGGTTTATTTTATTTATGTATTTATACGCTTTATACCATTCTAAAAAAGTCTTTACAAGAATTTTATGCAATTATTTTGAATTTCGCGCGAAATTTTTAACCTAATTTTAACCTGTCAAATTGACATTTCTCTCTTTTAATTAATTCATTTTATTTTATTTATTTATAAATATCTATATATCGATTTATATCATTCTTATTCAATGATATTTGTTATATTTAAATTTATTTTATATCTAAAAAGAAATAACGAATTTAATAACATTTAAAATTTAAGTTGGTAATAAAATCCAACTCTAACCTCAAATTCAATGTGTCAACTTAAAACGTCAAATTTTAATTATTATTTTACATTTAACTATTAATTTAATACTGTGACAATACAATACAATACAATACAGGTTTGTTGTTATTGCTATGTTTTACATCTAATTAGAATAATTCGATTTGAATAGCTATTGTTGCCTGATAAAAAAAAAAATGTTTCAACTTTATAAAAGTCTTAAAACTGGGGTTCCAAAAGATGGCCGACCGTACATGGTGGGAGGTTCCTCCTCCTCTATCAGATGGAATTGCCGCATCGATTAAGCTTCGCGGGCCAACATTGGAGCGGTGAAGACTTGCGCCCTGCTCTACCATCCACGGCGCACACGTGTTTCCCCGCAAATACCATGCATTTATTTAACGTGAAAGCAACACCCAACCCCCTTTTTATAAAAAAGGATCACCGGAAATCTCCCCTTATTTACGAACTTGTATTTTAAACTTAAAGGGATGATTTATCCATAAAACCATCCTTAACGAAGCCAATAATTTTTGTTTCTTTGCAGGTTTTGAAATATTGCGATCATCTTCATGGAAAATGGTACTTCTCAGAGGTACGCGCAATCTTTTCGAGACGATATCTTCTTCAAAATTTGGCGATCGAAATCTTTTTGGCGAGCAGAAGTAAGTAGTTGCAAAGGGAAATGTAAAAAGGAGATAACGATCTTATTTCTCATTGTTTCATTTCTAGCGTCCATCATGTTTGCGTTCCCAGATCAAGCCACCGTGAAGAAAGTAATAAGAGCTTTGCCGAGAGTTGGTGTTGGAATTAAATATGGAATAACACAAACAAGGTAAAAGAATTATTTTAAATACAAAAATAGCATATATCATACCCATTTTAACATTTCCAACCAGTTAATGTATATTATTGCATTTTATACCAAGTCAAGTACATCTCAATTAAGATACAATTGAAGACTACGCCATCATCTTGGTGGTTTTGAGTTATACAATACTGAATACAAGGAAGGTGGATTCGTTATTTACAACCTAACTAATTTAATGACCAATAAGCTACGTTAGATAAGAAGAAGAGACAATATTTTGACTTGATTGTTCGTTTGTGTCTAAATCCTAGATGGAAAATATAACCGAATTTTACACGTTGCATCATAACTTCGATGTGTCAAATCAGTTTTATCAGCGTTCTTATTCGATTTAATAGAAACGATAGTCGTCTAAATGATGGCATTCGTTGTAGGTCAACTAGACCTAGAACTAAAAACGTTCAAGGTATCTTTTTTGTCTTTTTGAGATAATTGCAGCATTTTTGGACTCATTTTTAAGGTTTTTTAATAAAGAATACGTCATGAAAGAACACCATAACATTTGTTTATGATGATAACTAACTTCAGGTTTAAAATGTCAACCTCGATTTTGACATATTTGTAATCTTTATTAAAAATCCTTTAAAATGAGTACAAACACGACATATGTATCTTAAATATTAATGAAGTTATGGTCAACTTCCGGTTAGGAATGTCAATGTCAATTTTGACATATGTATTTGTAATCGTTGTGAAAAATCCTTTAAAATAAGCCCAAACATGATACGTTTAATTCCAATATTACTCAAGATATAAGCAACTTCCGGTTTGAAATGTCAATGTCATTTTGATTATATTGTTAATTTTTATAAAATGTTTTAAAGTTTGTCACAAAAACAAAAATATAATAAAAAAAATCAAAAATTGAGGTTGGTATTAAGATTTAAAAAATAAATTGCTATCTTCATTGTTGCTAACTTCGGATTTAATGATTTTTATTCCAACTTTTTTGTTTTTTGAGATAACTGCGTCATGTTTGGACTCATTTTAAAGGTTATTTTATAAAAATTACGAATATAACAATAAAATTAAAGTTGACATTAACACCTGAAATATGTATCTTCAATATTAATGAGGTTATGGTCAACTTCCGGTTAGGAATGTTAACGTCAATTTTGACATATTTGTAATTGTCGTGAAAAGTCCTTTAAAATAAGCCCAAACATGATACGTTTAATTCCAATATTACTTAAGATATGCGCAACTTCCGGTTTGAAATGTCAATGTAATTTTGATATATTCTTAATTTTTATAAAATGTTTTAAAATTTGTCACAAAAACAAAAATATAATAAAAAAAATCAAAAATTGAGGTTGGTGTTAAGATTTAAGAAATAAATAGCTATCTTCATTGTTGGTAACTTCGGGTTTAATGATTTTTATTCTAACTTTTTTGTTTTTTGAGATAAGTGCGTCATGTTTGGACTCATTTTAAAGGTTATTTTATAAAGATTACAAATATAACAGTAAAATTAAAGTTGACATTAACACCTGAAATATGTATCTTCCATATTAATGAAGTTATGGTCAACTTCCGGTTAGGAATGTCAACGTCATTATTGACGTATTTGTAATCGTCGTGAGATAATCCTTTAAAATTATCCCAAACATGATACGTTTAATTCCAATATTACTCAAGATATAAGTAACTTCCGGTTTCAAATGTCAATGTCATTTTGATATATTGTTAATTTTTATAAAATGTTTTAAAATTTGTTACAAAAACAAAAATATAATAAAAAAATCAAAAATTGAGGTTGGTATTAAGATTTAAAAAATAAATTGCTAACTTCGGGTTTAATGATTTTTATTCCAACTTTTTTGTTTTTTGAGATAAATGCGTCATGTTTGGACTCATTTTAAAGGTTATTTTATAAAGATTACGAATATAACAATAAAATTAAAGTTGACATTAACACCTGAAATATGTATCTTCAATACTAATGAAGGTATGGTCAACTTCCGGTTAGGAATGTCAACGTCAATTTTGACATATTTGTAATCGTCGTGAAAAATCCTTTAAAATTAGCCCAAACATGATACGTTTAATTCCAATATTACTTAAGATATGCGCAACTTCCGGTTTGAAATGTCAATGTCATTTTGATATATTCTTAATTTTTATAAAATGTTTTAAAATTTGTCACAAAAACAAAAATATAATAAAAAAAATTAAAAATTGAGGTTGGTATTAAGATTTAAAAAATAAATTGCTATCTTCATTGTTGCTAACTTCGGGTTTAATATTTTTTATTCCAACTTTTTGTTTTTTGAGATAAGTGCGTCATGTTTGGACTCATTTTAAAGGTTATTTTATAAAGATTACCAATATAACAGTAAAATTAAAGTTGACATTAACACCTGAAATATGTATCTTCAATATTAATGAAGTTTTGGTCAACTTCCGCTTAGGAATGTCAACGTCAATTTTGACATATTTGTAATCGTTGAAAAAATCCTTTAAGACCAGCTCAAACATGATACGTTTAATTCCAATATTTATTACTCAAGATATAAGCAACTTCCGGTTTGAAATGTCAATGTCATTTTGATATATTCTTAATTTTTATAAAATGTCTTAAAATTTGTCATAAAAACAAAAATATAATAAAAAAAAATCAAAAATTGAGGTTGGTATTAAGATTTAAAAAATAAATTGCTATCTTCATTGTTGCTAACTTCGGGTTTAATGATTTTTATTCAAACTTTTTTATTTTTTGAGATAAGTGCGTCATGTTTGGACTCATTTTAAAGGTTATTTTATAAAGATTACGAATATAATAGTAAAATTAAAGTTGACATTAACACCTGAAATATGTATCTTCAATACTAATGAAGGTATGGTCAACTTCCGCTTAGGAATGTCAACGTCAATTTTGACATATTTGTAATCGCCGTGAAAAATTCTTTAAAATAAGCCCAAACATGATACGTTTAATTCCAATATTACTCAAGATATATGCAACTTCCGGTTTGAAATGTCAATGTCATTTTGATATATTCTTAATTGTTATAAAATCTCTTAAAATTTGTCACAAAAACAAAAATATAATAAAGAAAAAGTCAAAATTAAGGTTGGTATTAAGATTTAAAAAATAAATTACTATCTTCATTGTTGCTAACTTCGGGTTTAATGCTTTTTATTCTAACTTTTTTGTTTTTTGAGATAAGTGCGTCGTGTTTGGACTCATTTTAAAGGTTATTTTATAAAGATTACGAATATAACAGTAAAATTAAAGTTGACATTAACACCTGAAATATGTATCTTCAATATTAATGAAGTTATGGTCAACTTCCGGTTAGGAATGTCAATGTCATTTTGATATATTCTTAATTTTTATAAAATGTCTTAAAATTTGTCACAAAAACAAAAATATAATAAAAAAATCAAAAATTGGGGTTGGTATTAAGATTTAAAAAATAAATTGCTATCTTCATTGTTGCTAACTTCGGGTTTAATATTTTTTATTCCAACTTTTTTGTTTTTTGTGATAAGTGCGTCATGTTTGGACTCATTTTAAAGGTTATTTTATAAAGATTACGAATATAACAATAAAAACAAAGTTGACATTAACACCTGAAAGTTTTTTTCTTGGCCGTGCGTCGAAACTCTTTTAAGAAACATCAAAATTATTTTTAGGCGCACGGATAAACACGAATATTTCTAAATCTACGTCTAGTATTAGTTCTAGTTTTAATTCAATAAAAATATGAAACATAGTGATATCTAATGCTAGACTATAGTTGTTATTCAGAAAGTGATAGTGATGGTGATAACAGTGATTCTTCTATAAACATTCGGAAGTCGCGCAAATTATTGCCACTGCAATCTAGCCATTCAAAAAGTGATAATGATGACACTGCTGAAGTAAACATCGATACGTGGTCAGCAAATAGACATATCAATTATTTTGGAACCTTTCAAAGATAGCCCAGGTATAAAAATTCTACCAAAATACGAAGAAAGTGTAATGGACATTGTAAAATTATTTATTGGAAATGACTTTTTGGAATATTTGGTTAAATAATCAATAAATATAAATATATCTCAAGAACGAAGAAATGGATGGAAAATTTTTAGGTCTAATTGTTCTAATGACTGATCCAAGCATCGAAACTCCGTTTTTTTCTAAAGTAATGAACAAAACCAGATTTATGCAGATACTGCAGAGCTGGCACTTTTGTAACAATGAAGATATATCCACAAATTCAAACAGACTTGTAAAAGTTCAGCCAGTTATAAATTATTTAAAGAATAGAAACCTTGTCAACAATTATCATTAGATGAATGTCTTATTCTGTGGCGGGGAAGACATAAAATTATATTCCTTTGAAACAAAAGCAATAAACACAACACAATGAATAGCGAAAATTTAGCCGGTACTAGATGACCGGTCGATAAAGTGTTAAGATGGCTAAACCCGAATGATTCTAGTTCTAGATCTTGTGATAGTGCTAGTGATAGTGTAAAACTAGGACTAATACTAGACTTAGAATTAGAAACATTTGGGATTAGCCGCACGTCTCTTAAGACGGCTAATCCCGAATGATTCTAGTTCTAGGTCTTGTGTTAGTTCTAGTTTTAGTGCTAGTGCAATATTAGAACTAACACAAGACCTAGAACTAGAATCATTCGGGTTTAGCCGCACGTCTCTCAAGACGGCTAATCCCGAATGATTCTAGTTCTAGGTCTTGTGTTAGTTCTAGTTTTAATGCTAGTGCAATATTATAACTAACACAAGACCTAGAAATAAAATCATTCGGGTTTAGCCGCACGTCTCTCAAGACGGCTAAACCTGAATGTTTCTAGTTCTAGGTCTAGTGTTAGTTCTAGTTTTATTTCAATAAAAATATGCAACATAGTGATATCTTATGTTATCTACCTACCACTATCACTAGAACTAACATTAGATCTAGAACAAAAAACATTCAGACATGTTACACTTTATGTGGGACAAAATAAGTATCTACTTACTTTGCTGTTTACATTTGAAGTGAAATTCATTGTATATTAATATTTAAAATGGACTCACTGAACCTTGGAGATTACATTAAATTAATATATTTGATAAAATAATTTTTTTCAAAATGAAAATTGAAAGATAAAATTAAAATTACATAAACGCCTACATACTTAATCGACTACAAGCAGTGTATAACAAGATTTTTCTCCAACACGCAATATAAACGACGCCACATGACCGGACGTTTGTAAACGCCAAGATGAGTTTGCGCAACGATTTGTCCGCGATATTTTCTGTAAACTTTACGAACGATCCCATATCTCACCCGGCATACTTCAAACATTTTGAATTACACGATATAAACGCGGAATAAATTTAACTACACCGGTAGTGACACATTTGATAATCAACAATTGATTTTTTTATTTTGATTTTTTTTTGTAGGAGAGCCAGTATGATGTCTCCGCGTCAACTAATGCGTAACTCGAACATGACTCAAAAATGGCAAAGAAGAGAAATTTCCAATTTCGAGTACTTGATGTTCCTCAACACCATCGCAGGTAATTAAATTAAAAATAATTAACGAAAATTTGAAAATAATAGGTTGTGATTTCGTTCAATTTCGATTTGTGTTAATAACCGTCCAACCTTGTTACGCGATAAAACCCCATAATCGCACCCATTAAAACGACCCTAAATCAGTGCCGTCAGTGGCGCCGTATTTATAAATAGCTATTCAGTGATATATAACTTTTTAATTTGGCCCCGTCCCGGACCGACAGCCGCTAATTTCGCGCGAGCTTTTCGTTCCCTTCATGTCGTCTACGGTCCGTCTGTAGTGGAGATTGTTTCCTGTTCAATTTGAGGACGTTCTAATTGCGTACGACTTGACTTATGTCCCACCTGAATTTAGACACGTCTGGCGACGCGACGACAGACTCAAGAATAGAATAAGATCAAAAAAAAAATTTTAGTTAAAAGGAATACAACAATTTCGAATTGAAAGATAATTAATTATTGTTAAAAGCTGCAACCTTGGGATAAAAAATAAGGTTGTAAAAATAGTTGGTTCCAAGAACAAGACAAAGAAAAAGTGCAGACCCACAGATCAACGTCCCCGGAGACTCGTTCCGATATTATTTCTGGATCACCCCGAGTCGGAAAGGGGCAAACTCTCGTCCCCTCCGTTTTTGCCGCTGGTTTTCCGTTCCGGATCAACGTGACTGAGGTGGCGCCTAATTCGCACTGACATCTCCCATCCGCCGAATCGAAATCCCCTTACGTTTCCTTCATTACAACGTCTCTCCCTTGTATCATTGCTCTTTTATGTATCTTGTAAATTTAGATACAGTAGAAGCCGAATTGTCTATACGATGTGTAAATCAAGGGTGGTAGTTTTAGTAATCTAAAAGTAGATCTAAAACTAGAAAATTGGTGCAGTATTTAAGTAGGTAAGTAAAGTTGCAATAAATAATTTATTATTTAAATTATTTTAATTAGGTGGTTATTCATAGAAAAGGGGATACTGAAACATCAGTTAGATTCGGACATTAAACCGCCCCTTAGCTCGGACCTAACAATTTTCCAAGCAGAAGTTCTTCCTATAAACTTCTGCACCGCTTTGAACCTGCAGAATGGACAGAAAGGTGGATCCATAAACATTTAGGGCAATGAGAAGGTGGACAAGCTGGCTAAAGAGGCAGCGAACACGCCCTTCATTGGACCCCACCTGGTTGTGAACTACAAAAAAGCCACCTAAAACAAATAATCACCAGTTGGGAGTACTCAAACTTAGCCTTATGCTGGAAAGAACTTCCAGGTCACAGACAAGCGAAGAGTAGGATAACTCCGTCGCAAAACAAAACCAAAAAGATTTTATGCCTCAGAAAAGAGGATCTAAGGACTCTCTCAAATTACTTGACCAGCCATGCGCCCCTAAAATAACACCTCTTTCACATTGGACAAGCTGAGGATCAAACTTGTCAACTTTACAACGACGAGTCAAAAACAGCTGGACATATACTGTGCAATTCCGTCGCCAGAGGCAAAATTTTCGGTAAAACTCTCTTGACACCTACCGACATAAAGGTTCAAGACCTCAGGGCAATACTAAGGTTCATCAAGGACCTACATTTGCCCTAAACTTTTGCAGGCCTAAAGTTACAATAGATTTTATAGGTTGAGATAACGAGAGGGGTCGCTCCCCTCAGCTCGTCAGCAATAATAATAATAATAATTTCCTAATAGAGGTCAAGTGGCAGATTGCTAAATATAAAAAAATGTATTGGTGGATCAACCAGTGGTCTTCATACCCATTTGAAAACAATTCATGAATTTAATATGAAGGAAAGATGTGAAGCGACACTGATAGTCTAATTATTTCCAAGAAACCAAAATTGATTACCAGCTATTTCAAAAACAAGAAAAATGAAGAATTTTCAGAAGTACTTGAGTATGACTGCTCAAGATGGCTTGCCATTTCATATCTTTATTACCTCTCAAAACATCAGAAAAGATTTACAAGCAAGAGGATTTGTACATAGATATTCCAAAATCTCAAGAATCTGAGAAAATTAAAAATAAAATAACTTCTGAAATATGCAATTTAAAGTCTAAAGGTACACCATTCAGCATAACACTCGATGAGTGAACTTCAGTTCGTAACCGTCGATACATTAATATTAATGTGCAGTCTAGTGCAGCAAAAAAATGGCTAATATAATAAATCGCTGGAGCAGTTTGTTGGTTAAATTTTATGACTAAAATTTTCAGAAGATGAAATGAATTTATTATTTGCACATATTAGCAGTTTGGCGCCTATAAAAGTGACAGTAGTTGCGTTGTGCCGAAGAGATTCAAATCTTTTGATTGCTAAGGCTTCACTAAAGTTCATGTCAAATTAGATCAAATTACTTTGGAATTGCTAAATGCAATAAAACTTCAAATCTCGCAAAGTATTACAGATACATCACTTACATTACATTTACATAGACTACATATCGAGTAGGCTCATTGGTTGAACATGTCAGAACAATTTTGAGCATATTGCTTAAATCTGTAAATGGTTATTCTAGCCACTTTCTCTATATCCAAATGCGGAGGAGAGAGGCCAAGCAGAGCCTCCATTGCTAGAGTTGGCGTTGTGCTTATCGCACCAGAGATTGCCAATCCAGTTACTTGTTGAATTCCTGAAAGTTTACTAATAACTGAAGACTGTCGGACTTTTCTATACCAGGCTGCTGCTACATATGTGATCATAGGTCTAACCACAGTCACAGTCTTTCAACACAAAGACAAGGATAGTCTAGCTTTATGCAAAACTCCCTGCAAATGTCCATTCCATGACAAGGTTTTGTCTAGGATTACTTCTAGATATTTGACTTCCTTTGAGAAAGGAATTTCTTTACCTTGGATAGTTGGGAGGATTAGTCCATTCAACTTTGGTTTCCTTTGACCATAACAACAATGTCATCAGCATAAGCTTGTATTTCTACACCAACGGCTTCGACTATTGCAATCAGATCGTTAACCAGGAGAGACCAAAGCAGGGAAGATAACACCGGCCTGAAGCGTATCGTATCACGGTGGAGTGAAGTAGAAACTATTCTAGTATCAAGCATATTGCGAATCCAACCCACTATAGTTGCTTCCACTCCCCTGTCCAGAGCAGCTATTTCAACAGATTGTGGTATTGCGTTGTTGAACGCTGGAGTTCATGGTAGATACGCTGCCTGAACAAGAAAGTTCAATTGCTTTGGAATTGCTAAATGCATTAAAACTTCGAATCTCGCTAAGAATTGCAGATACATCACTTGCAGTACTTGCAAAGCGGACTTCCAGAAGAAAATGAGTTACTGCAACGCATAACTAAAGTATCCCTAACGAAGCGCATTGTTTCTTCAAGCAAACTATTACTTGAAGATCTACAAGAACCATCCTGTTCATCAGCAAACGCAGAAGTAATCGTTGTACCAACACTAGAACCCTCTAGTCCTCCATCTCCATCTGATCGCAACATACTAAAAAGGAAATAGCAGGAAGCTCTAAAGAAGACTGTTCCAAAACCAACCTTGTCCGTTTCAAGTTTTATAGTGCAATAAATAAAATTTGCGTTTTTTATTTCTCTTCTATAGTTTCAGCAAAAAAAAGTCAATGCTGGTATTAATACCGAGATCCCGGTATTCACATTGATTGAACACCGAAAACCGGTATTCAAATTTTTTTCTGGTATTCTAAACTCTATCTAGAACTAGAATCATTCGGGGTTAGCCGTCTTTAAAGACGTGCGGCTAAACCCAAATGATTCTAGTTCTTCTTAGTCTACCATTGTCACTATGTAGAACTAACACTATACCTAGAACTAGAATCATTGGGGTTTAGCCCTTTTTAGAAACGTGCGGCTAAACCCAAATGATTCTAGTTCTAGGTGTAGTGTTAGTTCTACATAGTAACAATACTAGACTAGAACTAACATTATACCTAGAACTAGAATCATTCGGGTTTAGCCGTCTTTAGAGAGGTGCGGCTAAATCCAAATGATTCTAGTTCTAGATATAGTGCTAGTTCTACATAGTAACAGCGCTAGAGTAAAACTGGGCACTACAACTAAACCCGAATGTGTCTAGTTCCAGTGTTAGTTCTAGTTTTAATCGTTATTCAGCAATGACGTCACGAACGGGCCTTCGAGCTGTGCACCTGTTCCCAGGATTAAGCAGTCCTCTTAGATTCTACTCTCCTTGTTATACAGGGTGATTCTCAACCTATACGCATAAACTTGGGGATTTATTCCTCATGACATATAATGACTAATTGGTGAAAAAAATTGTAGCAAAAGTTTTTTGTTTCCTAGATATCCTTGATATTTACATTCAAATTAAGAATACATAGAAATTACTTGAAACTACGATGGTGCTAAACAATTGCAATTTCAAGCGACACACATATTCGACCGAGGCTTGGGCAAAATGGAGGAGCAGTTAGACCTTTACACATTGTTAATGTCGAGAAAGAGATTTTTAATGTCGTCGAAGAGCAATCTGGCCTAAGTACTAGGATACTTGCAGAGCAACAATCTACAATTTGGCGAATATTGAGGCACAATCAACTCCATCCATATTACATGCAACGTGTCCTACAAGTCCTACTACCAGTAGATCTCATTTCATTCTTGGAATGAATTGGCCCTTTCATTCTGGATAATCGATTAACTGGTGCTCATTATTTACAATTTTTGCACGATAATCAGTCGTCACTTAAGAAGTCACTAAAAAAACATAGTGTACGCCACCAAAGTGCATAATGAGCAAAAATTGTGAAATCATGCAAGGTATGGGAAATAACTTCGAACACTTGCTTTATGTATTCTCTATTGAAAGTAAATTTCACAGATATCTAGGAAATTAAAAAACTTTTGCTACCATTTTTTTCACCTATTAGTCATTATTTGTTATAAAGAAATAAATCCTCAAGTTTATGCGAATAGGTTGAGAATTACCCTGTATATAAATAAATAAATATAAAGCCACATCTCAACGCAACGTTATGGATTTGTGTGCATTAAAATTATTCATATAACGAACTTTTGTCTATAACGGATAATCTTTTAGTGTACTTAAATTTAAAAAAAAATTATTTTCTTATTTTAGGTCGAACTTACAACGACTTAAATCAATACCCAGTCTTTCCGTGGGTTTTAACAAATTACGAAACTAAAGAACTTGATTTAAGTCAACCAAATAATTACCGCGACCTTTCGAAACCAATTGGAGCTTTAAATCCAAGTAGAAGAGCTTATTTCGAAGATCGCTACAACAGTTGGGACCATGAAAGTATCCCACCCTTCCATTATGGGACTCATTATTCAACATCGACGTTCGTTTTAAATTGGTTAATAAGAGTGGAACCGATGACGACGATGTTTTTATCTTTACAAGGTGGAAAATTTGATCATCCCGATCGATTATTCTCTTCGGTCGCTTTGTCGTGGAAAAATAGTCAAAGAGATACATCCGATGTTAAAGAATTAATACCGGAATTTTTCTTTTTACCCGAAATGTTCGTCAATTCTAATAGGTACCGGTTGGGTACTCAAGATGGTGGGAAAATGGTTGATGATGTTGAGTTGCCGCCGTGGGCTAATTCTCCAGAAGAGTTTGTTAGAATTAATAGAATGGCTTTAGAATCCGAATTTGTATCATGTCAATTACACCAATGGATCGATTTGATCTTTGGTTATAAACAGAAAGGACCCGAGGCTGTTAGGGCCACAAACGTCTTTTATTACCTCACCTATGAAGGCAGCGTGGATATGGATTCAATAACGGATAAGGTTATGAAAGAAGCAATCGAAAATCAAATTAGAAATTTCGGACAAACACCTTCTCAATTATTAATGGAACCACATCCACCTCGCAGTTCAGCAATGCATCTGGTAAATTAAATTAATTTTTTAATTTTAAAAATAAATCAAAAATATTTTTTAGTCCCCAATGATGTTTTCGAGTATCCCCGACGATGTTTGTATGACAATGAAATTTTTATCAAATTCACCAATAGTCCACATCTCAGCAAATACTTATCCGCAACTTCCTATGCCCTCAGTAGTTACAGTCACAATGCATCAACAATTCGCTGTAAATCGTTGGAATTCGGGATACGCAGCGGTGGCTCAATCTCCGAGTTACGCCGAATCACCACAAAATCAAGGCGCAAATTTACCATTATCGATGGATCCAGTTTTATGTAAGCTTATTTTAATTTCTTATTAATCACCATAAAATTAATTCAATTTAATTTAATTTAGCCCAAACCAACAACAGTAATAATCCAGCTTTACGAAGACACCTCGGCGATAATTTTAGTCAAAACTTAAAAATCCGTTCGAACTGTTTCGTAACGACGGTAGACAGTAAATTTTTAGTAGCTTGCGGATTTTGGGACAATAGCTTTAGAGTATTTTCAACGGAAACCGCAAAAATCGTTCAAATTATATTCGGACATTACGGCGTGGTTACTTGCCTTTCGAGATCTGAGTGTAACATCACTTCCGATTGTTACATCGCTTCCGGATCGGCCGATTGCACCGTTTTATTGTGGCATTGGAACGCGCGCACTCAAACGATTGTCGGCGAGGGGGATGTCCCTACACCTAGGGCTACTTTAACCGGACACGAACAACCCGTTTCAAGCGTTGTTATTTCCGCCGAATTAGGATTAGTCGTTTCAGGATCATACAGTAAGAAAATACTATTTATGTAGTTTGGGGTATTAATTTTTTTTGTTTAGATGGTCCCGTTTTGGTACATACAACTTTTGGTGATTTATTAAGGTCTTTAGAAGCGCCTAATGGTTTTTGTTCTCCCGAAAATATCGCGATGTCCAGGGAGGGTGTTACTGTAGTCAATTATGAAAGGGGAAATATTGCAGCTTTTACTATTAATGGGAAAAGGCTTCGACATGAATCACACAATGACAATTTACAGGTAAAGTATTTTATATTATTATTACATCATAAAAGATCACATCAAAAAGATACTTTTGAGGTTGGCTTTTTGATTAAAGTTAGAGGCAGCTAAAAATTATATACTACAAATGATTACTGCAGGATGAATACCATAGTTAAAGACAAGGAACTATATCTGCTAATTGCAGATCTCAGGCTAATAACTGCAGATACCTACAAGATATCTCTGCAGACTACAAATCGCAGATTATAACCATAAACAGAATATCGCAGTCTAAAACCCACAACTGCATACTAGAAAGCATAACTAGTGTCGGCTTATTCTAGAAAATTTGTGCAATATGAAAAGTGTTTGATTTCCTAGATGCAAGTTAAAGACTGGAAAGTATAAATTATGTACAGAGCACAAAATATCGTAAAACCAGCAAGTCCAATTATCTTGGTTATTATTATTATTATAGAATTTAATGACGTAGTCAAAAAAATTTTTCGGTTTTAGATTTTGACATATCACAATTTTCGTTTTTTTTAATGGAAATAACCACTGATTATTCGCTTATTAAATTCGTTATTTTTTTCTGATTACAAAAATATAGGGTTTGACAGGTCTATTTCTTATTGTTTTAGAATAAAGCTAAAAATAAACTTTTTTTTTAGTGTCGTCAAAGAAATTAAATTTGCAGTTTCCTGTAAATTATAACTAAAAATTAAAAAAACATATTTCTGATATTTGAAACAAATATATTTATTGAACTATTTAATTTATATACGTTTTACACAAATGTTGGAATAGATTGCATTATTTCACATTTAATTAATATTTAATATTATAATTAAATGAATTATTGATAGATGGCGCCATATGTTTTTTTTTAAATCAAATAAACGTAGCAACGTTTGTTTGTATTCAAAAATTTTCTGAAATGTCACTTTAAAAATCCTGTTTTTAAGATGAATTACGAAAATGTTGAAAAGTTTAACATGTTAGAATGTTACATATTAAAAAAATTATTTGTTTTTAAATACCAGAAGTTATCTTCTTATTTAATTGTTAACTTTTTTTTAAATTTTGTTCAACATTTATAACCAGGCAACGATATCCGTTGAGTTCAGTTCTTGGCTAAATTTTCACTTTTGGCATAAAGAGACAACTTTCTCAATAACATTCTGTGGTGTTTCCATAATAATGGAATAGTATGCAAACAAAACAATCGCATTGGTCTTAAGACAATCTTAGTTGGACGGTGGAAGCAAATAATCAAACAACCTTTTAATTAATAAGTCACTGTAACCTGAAGTTTATGCAGAATAATCTTCCTGAACAGCTGAATGTTTTGCTGGATGCATTAAAAATACCGGCGTGGTTTCAACCTCAACATAACGCACAGATAGTGACTCAGAACCTGAACCGCAAGTTTCTAGAACGAATTGGTACAAATAGTGCTGTCAGAGTATGTAATGTTGAATTGGTAAAATGATTCGAACTGTCCGTGTATGAAAATGCAAGTATTTTTTGTTGTTCCAACAATTATTATGATGAAAAATTTATTTGGTAACCTAAAATCTATTTCTGCTTTTTATTTTGGACAATGAATCATGAACTGAAGTCATTTAGGTACTCTAACAACAACTTCTTACAACACTACAATATCTCAATTCATTCCAGAGATACTTTGCCCAGTAGTTTTAAGTGAAACACCCTGTATTACAGTTTGCAAACCACAGCTACCGATCAGTTTTATACAGTATTAAGCAAATTTTAGATACAGCCTGGTATACCAGAATTGCAGATGGAAGACTACAAATTATAGCTACAGATAGTCTTACTGCCAACTATATCTGCAGATCACAAAGCAGTGCTACAAACTAAAAAGTCATAGTTGCAGACAGCACAATGTAAATTTATGCAAGCAGACTAAATAATATCTCCACGCAGCGTATTGCAAATCATAACTACAGATTATATATCAAAGCTACAGTCAGAAAGAAGGCTTGAAATTGTAGCAGCATGTTGCATGCCATTCATAGCTGGAGATTGAACATCGCCGATATATAGATAATATATTGCAAACCATAACTACCGATCAGTTTTATACAGTATAAAAACCGTACAGTATAGTTGTCAACTATATCTGCAGATCAGAAAGCAGTGCTACAAACTACAAAGTCATAATTGCTAACAGCACAATGTAAATTAATGCAAGCAGACTAAATAATACCTCCACGTAGCGTATTGCAAATCATAACTACAAATCATAGAACAAAGCTACAGTCAGAAGACTACAAGTCAAGTTGCATTAAGAAGACTTGAAATTATAACAACATGTTACATGCGATCCATAGCTGCAGATTGAACACCGCCAATTTATTATAGATAACATGCTGCAAATCACAGCTACCAATTAGTTTTATCCAGTATAAAGCAAATTTTAGATACAGGCATACCATGATTACAGATGGAAGACTACAAATTATAGCTACAAGTAGCATACTACCAACTATATCTGCAGATAACAAAGCAGTGCTACTAACTACAAAGTCATAGTTGCTAACAGCACAATGCAAATTAATGCAAGCAGACTAAATAATACCTCCACGCAGCGTATTGCAAATCATAACTACAGATTATACATCAAAGCTGCAGTCAGAAGACTACAAGTCAAGTTGCAGATGGAAGACTACAAATTATAGCTACAGATAGTCAAGTTGCATAAAGAAGGCTTGAAATTATAACAGCATGTTGCATGCCATCCATAGCTGGGGATTGAATATCGCCAATATATTATAGATAACATATTGCAAACCACAGCTACCGATTAGTTTTATACAGTATAAAGCAAATTTTAGATACAGGCTGGTATACCAAAACTGGAGATGGCAGACTACAGATTATAGCGACAGATAGCATATTGCCAACTATATCTGCAAATCATAAAGCAGTGCTACAAACTCACAATTGCAGGTTGCAGACAAATGTAAGTTAATGCAAGCAGACTAAATAAATCTCCACGCTGCGTAATGCAAATCGTAACTATAGATTATAAATCAAAGCTGCAGACAGAAGACTACAAGTCAAGTTGCAGATGGAAGACTACAAATTATAGCTACAGATAGCCAACTATGCAAGCACAATGCAAATTAGTGGCAACAGATTAAATAAAACCTCCACGCAGCGTATTGCAAATCATAACTACAGATTATAGATCAAAGCTGCAGAAATAAGGGTAAAAACTATAGCTGCAGATTGAACATCAGCGATTATATCAACAGATAGAGTTTTGTACTGAATAAATTAAATTTTAGGTATGATGACAGTTGCAAGACCAGGAACTGTAGCAGGAAATAGCATACTGCCAACTTCATCTACAGATCACAAATCACTGCTACAAATTACAAACTCCACACTGCATCCTGCAAATTATAACTGCATGTTACAGATCAAAGCTGCAGCCAGAAGGCTGTAAGTCGTAGTTGCAGAAAGAAGATTAGAAAATAAAGCGGCTGATCAGTTTTCAACTGCATAAAGCAAATTCGAGATACAGACTGTATACCATGGATGCAGATGAAAGACTACAAATTATAGCGACAGGTAGAATATTGCCAACTATATCTGCAGATCAGAAAGCAGTGTTACAAACTACAAAGTCATAGTTGCTATCAGCACAACGCAAATTAATGGAAGCAGACTAAATAATATCTCCACGCAGCGTATTGCAAATCATAACTACAGATTATAGATTAAAGCTGCTATGATGACAGCTGCAAGACTAGAAACTGTAGCAGGAAATAGCATACTGCCAACTTCATCTGCAGATGCTACAAATTGCAAACTCCACACTGATACAGACTGTATACCATGGATGCAGATGGAAGATTACAAATTATAGCTAATTTTTGCTAATTTTAGCTAATTTTAAATTTCTGTAAATCGTGACATAATTTTAATCACAAATACTAGAGTCAAAATGATGACCATTCGTTGTAAAATTCTTAGAAAGATAAAATTTGGCAAACAGTGCAATGTTATCATGAGAAATCGTTTAAGATCACTTTTGAGAATTTACAAACACAGGATCAATACTATACAGGGTGTTCACAAAGATTATTTTCTTAAATTTTTTTATTATATCGTATACCATTAATTTTTTTAACTGATTCTAACCTATATCATTTCAAAATTATTTTTACTCTTACAAATTTTTGATTAGTCGCATCGTTTTCGAGTTATTCACAAAAAGATTCAAATTCGTTACTCAACGTAGCATAAAATATGAATTTTCTTAAGTACAATTATTGTTCAGTATTTTTAAATTAATGGTTATCTGTAAAAGCCATTTATGGATTTAGATCAAAAATTTTTACACGAATCGTCATCATTGTGACTCTATCATTTGAGATTAAAATTATGCCATGATTTGCAGAAACATCTTGTAGATACCATACTGCCATCTACAACTTTAGACCACAAACAAGAAACTGCAGACAATCTGCTACAATACTGCAAACTGCAGATTGTAGCTAAAGATTATACAATAAATTATGACTGCAAACTGAATACTGTAGTTGCAGACAGACTATGGATTGTATAATATGGATGTAGACTACAAATCATACCTGATGATTGCAAATGGAAGACTATCATCTGTAGTCTGCAGACGACAAGCGAAAACTAAAAATTATAGACTGCAAGTGATAGTTGCAAATAGTTGGAATAAAATTAAATCAATTATGCCATGATTTACAGAAACACCTGTAGATACCATACTGCTATCTACAACTGCAGACCACAAACAAGAACTATAAATTAAAAATTGCAAGTCGTTGCTGTAGACTCTAGATTGCAAAGAACAGCAACAATCTATAAACAATAGATTTGCAAATTGGAAATTATAACTTCATATTTCATGCCATAGCTGCAGATTGAATATTGCCAGTTATATCTAAAAGTAACATACTAAAAGCTGTAATTGCAGACTACAACCTAAATACTGCAGATTGTAGCTAAAGATTATACAATAAATTATAGCAGCAGACTGAATACTGTAATTGCAGATAGACTATGGATTGCATAATATAGCTGTAGACTACAAATCATACCTGATGATTGCTAATGGAAGACTACCATGTGTAGTCTACAGACCACAAGCGAAAACTAAAAATTACAGACTGCA